GTTCCAAACCTTAAGGTTCCCTATGATTCCAAGGGTTACACACACACACACACCCGGCCGCTTTGCGGCGCCCTCGCGCAAAACCTGAATAGGCACCTAAAAAGCTTTAGAAGCGAGAGAAAGGAAAACAGAAAGAGCAGCGCCAAAAGGGCAGGAGAGAAAGATAGGGGTAGCAAAAGGTGACTACTTAGCCCTTGACTGGGGTAGGGAAACGAGCCTCAAGAACAACCTAAAAAGTTTGAAAGAACGCCCAAGAAACGACGAAAAACATAAGAAAGAAAGGAAGGAAGAAAGAAAGAAAGTGGGGGGCAGGGAGGGGATGTATGTACGTGTGTGTGTCCGTGCGTGTTTTTCAATACCTAGCGCTCTAGAGTTACCGATTACTTAGCGGAAGCTAATTAGGTGCAATAGTTAGGGAGCGGGACTTTAGTCTTAAACCGCCCGGGTAGAGTAGACTAGAACAGGGACAACAGAGGGAAAGGCACCGACGCGCAAGTACCATTTCCCTCTAATTAGAGGGGGGGTTAGAGAACCCGGCGGGGATTTATTCTCCGTATGCCCGGCGGCGTCAAGTCTCCTTAAACTCGGCAGTTTTTGTAGCAGGAGATTCATGGGTGAAACAAAACAATCCAAACCATAATCCACGAACTCAAGACGCTGAACCAATTTGTGATTCACGATGGCTTCGGCGCCTCTCTTGCGAGAGGATCACACTCTGCACCCAGTGGGACGACAGAGCGGCACACACTTTGACAATGGGTTTTCAGTTAAAAAAGGACACAAACGGCAAGGCGGCTGTGTTTAACAAAAAGGTCTGCGTGACTGCGGACTCTAGTTACTGAACACGTAGCGAGCGAAAAATGGACGCAAACGGCAAGGCAGCTGGGTCAGTGGAATTGAAGGTGTTTAACAAAAGTTTGTATGACTGCGCACGTTAGTTACTGAATACGTAGCGAGGGAAACCTGTTTTGGGATCTATCATGCGAACGACCATGGAAGCAAACCAGGAAAGTAGACAGCGTGGGCGTGAACAACAGTTGTTTTGCAGGTACACACCAAGGCGTCCCTTGGTGCTTCCCCTGTCACATCACAGCTTCGTTGGGCCTGCACGAAGGTGGTACCCCTCGGGACGGGGTGTGACACACACACACACACGCACATACTTTTGGGTGGAACGAGAGCGCGCCAAAACCGACTCGAAACATTTACTGTATATACTGTATATATATATATATATTTTTTTTAAAAAATAGATATATATAGAGCAGCGTCAATGCTCGAGCTCCAAGGCATGAGTCAGAACTCGAGGACAATTTGGGAGGTTCAAGCAGCCTGGTTGTTCTCCAATGTGTCTCGGTGGACAGTTGTCGAGTCTTGGAAATGACCCGCCTTGCCAGTGGTTGTCACAGATTAGGCCGACAGTGAACAAACTATAGACAAACAAAATGGAAGGCGCTCAACTGTGAGTTAGCATCTTGAAAAAGTTTTCTAGTAAGAAGCCGCCTGGGATAAGACTTTCCGGAGCACAATTGATGCTCGTGAATGAATTCATTCAGTTAGGATGCCCATGTGATATGAAACGGAGGAGGCCTAGGCTAGATCGCTATTAGGTTGGAGGCCGTTGCTATTAGGTTGGAGGCCATCGCTTCTAGGTTGGAGGCCATTGCTGTTAGGTTCCTTTTGCTATTAGGTTGGAGGCATATTGTGAGGTCCTTCGACCTCAGAATCTGCCGAGGTAGCCTGGCACACTGCATTTCCAATGGTGGCCTTTTGGATTCCGTGCGACGATTCCTCCTGGCTCAGCCGAAAGGATCCACCCCCATAGACGCGGCCAAGAGGGCCAGGCATGTGCAGGAGCATGGTCTTTACTTGGCCATGTTAATGGCCGATTCTGATCTAAACACGTTGGAATTGCTGAACAGGCTCCCATGTACAGTGAGAGAATTGCTGGTGCCTTGTTGAAGGAAAGGTAGAGATCCTCGTGTTGACCTCCGTTGAGCAAAACGGTGGACAGCCGATGAGCCTTTCCATTGAAGCCGGCCAAGCGAGTCAGCTGCCCATCTCAAGAGTGCGGTATCGCTTTCGAAAGTGCATTCATGGACGTGCGATGCAATGGTCAAAGCCATGGACTTTTTTTTTGTGCGTGCACTGTGCGCGCGACATATATTGTGAAGCTTTCGCGACGCGATGTCGTTGATGAATTTTTGACCCTATGGCTGTTTACACCGTTCTGATCATAGATTTTCTCAAGATCGTTGTGCCTGAAGGTCTATATTTTGGATTCCCCTGATCTGGCACAGTGCCCCTGCGTGAGTGTGCTGACGGTGGCGGCGCAAGATTTGCAGCGCGTGAAGCCATTCAGCAGCCTGGCCTGGTTATTTGGCACTGTGTGACCTGCAAGATGACCCCACCTAGTCTGACGTCAATCGGAATTCTATTTGCTTGTCTTGTTTCTCAACTTGCGCAAGCATGTTTGGACAGTTCCGTTTTCAAGATTTCTTATTGCTCTGAAGTTCAGTCCCTGGCCACACTGTAGCCGTTCAGGTCCCGAACTGCTGCAGCAGAAGCTTCGGACAACCTTGCGCATGGCTGCAGAGCACGGTGCTGCGACTTAATTCTATGGAAGCAATAAGCCCTCTTCCAACTGCCACAGAATCCGCTTGTAAAAGAGACTTTTGCTTGAGAAAGCTCGTGCATGGTGGAGTTTGACTTCGTGGTGTCAGTCATGTGTCACATAAGTCCTCGTGATGGCTGTTGCTTCGCACTCCACTCAGGGAACAATGCAGTTGTTCTGGGAGCCTTTGGTTGCGGGTATTTTGGTGCCTCGGCAGTCAAGCCCACTTAGGTTAAGCTTTGCTAACACAGCTCTGTTCAAGACCTTGCCCGTTGTACAGCAACAGGACCCCAGCCACATCCTTTCTTTCCTTCCTTTCCTGATTGGAACTTTCACAATTGATTGTGCTCTTTCTGGCAACCTTTGAGCGTCCCGTACGAACGAGACTTTGACTTGAGGGCAGCGATCACCGTTGTTTCACAGACTAACCACGTTGCCCTTTTCAAGCACGTTTGTTTTGTTTCCGTTTATCCCACAGACGTCCTCGCTTGCATGGCACGATGACATCTACTGTACTGTAATGTTCAAAAAGCGGGTTGGTAAACTCCACCGAAGTAAAGTGCAAAACCTCAACCTTGTAAGTGTTTCTACGGCACATACCTCACACACACACACGGTACCCAAATGGGTGATCCTTTGACTCTGAACTCTGACTCTCAATGAAGCGCACTTTGTCCTGACATTTGAGACATTTACGCTATGGTGGGTGTTGAGCTTGTAGCTGTGGACACCGTAAAGCTGACAGAACAGCCTGCTGAATGCTGCACGGCTGCGGCCAAAGTTGAGAACCAATGACGAGAAGAAAAGAAATCCTACGGTCTGTAGTAGTGTTTGAGTTTGCGAATATTGATTTTTTGATTGTTGTCTCAACCTGACCGCGGGTAGTTTCAGGCGGAGTTGAGAAGACCTGCAAATGAAGCGGAAAGCAAAATTGAGAGGAAACACATGCAATGCACGGACTGGCATGCAATAGGTTCAATAGACTGACATACGCAGACACCAATGACAGACTAGCAGGCTTTCAGCAATCCCTACAAAGCCACGACATGACAAGGATCTACTGTAGATATGAGAAAGAGATAACGAAAGAGAAGAATGGAACCCTCAAGTGGAGCCCGGTGATGGGTTCCCCAATCCATAGCCAGTGGGGGGCTCCATATAAAAATGCACACCCATATGTATGTAGTGTGCGAGTACTAATGGTCGTCATCACCAGCCTTCCAGGCAATCCACCAGAAGCCGTGGCGACGACGTTCCAGGAGCTCCTGACGTCAGAATTCCATGGCACGTGGCCCTGCCTTTCATAAACATGCTTTGCCAGTTCACCTCTAGTGACCATTCTCTGGTCCTATTGAGTTTCAGCTGTTTGATGAGACCTTCCCCAAACCTGATAGGGTCGCAACATATTGCAACATATTGCAACATAGTATAAATTTGTTGTAAGGCTGTAAGGTTCTTTGATTGCCCATCGGATTGACTTCCACAATCCAAATTATTCAAAAAAAGAACAGCTTGACAACTGAGATTTCATTTGGCTGTCTTTGCTCTGCTGCGGGACCGAAACTTTGCAACGTTTGTGAAGTGGCTCAGCTTTGATTTGGAGGGAGGGAATGTTGACAAAGCAACGAATAACACTGGTCAGGTCAGGTATTTTACAGTTGTCTGTGCGTTTTACAATGCGTGGGCTCTTCAACCTCGGGCAGACAAGCCGCAATGAGGACTTGAAATGGTGTTCGATAGGTTTCATGTGTTTTAGGAAGCCCGCAAGATATTCAGCGGCTTTGAGTCGGCCAAGTGGATATGCTTTCCACTCAGAGCTTCCCAAAAGCCTGTGCCGTGGCCTTTGCCAAGTCAGTGGTCGATGCACGTTCGCATCTCCATTGTCAAGATCTCAAGCAGCTCATGGTGGGAGGTTTGAAGACATCATCTATAATTGCGAGAGCGCAGAGAGCCTGGGATGTTCCGTGTGACTGTTTTCACTAATCCGCCATGCCCACTCGCCAACCATCCAAAGAACATGTGATTAAATGTGCACCCGTGAGCATGAGACTAGACGACAGGGTGGCCCGAAAGCAAGTAGGCGGAAGAGAACAAATAGAAGGGAAGAAAAGCGAAGTAACAGAAGATGAATGAGCACTAAAGAAATGAAGAGATGATATATGATGATTCAAAACATTAAGATGAAACAAAATGAGATGATGATGAGATGACACAATATATAATATATATATATATACATTATGATTATGATACTATTATCACGTTATTACCAAATCTATTAATGTATATTCTGTTGCACTGTACTTCGGAGCCCAAACGGTAGTCCCGGTCGATTCTTTTTTATCCAGCGCCGGTCGAGCTCAAACGCTAGTCCCGGTAGTAAGAGCCGCCGAAGTGTGCGAAATCGCACGTCCCAACCTGGCATCAGGACAACCAATGCTCATACAAATGCAACACTTGAAAAACAAAACAAATTACCCACAGTTCAACTCATGTTGTTTTGTCGGTTATCAGATATAGTTGCACACCCAGTCGGAACAGGATCGACTTCGAACAACTCTCGGTCGTGGAT